CAGTACACTGTTAGTGTTCCTCTTATCAAATTACATGAATTAAGTACAACATACCCAAAAGCTTCATTTCTATATAGATACAAAGTTGTTTTGAAGTATTTTAATAGTATTCTAAATGAATGCTTAATAAGTATTACATATTCTAAATCAGCCATATTCACTAGAAAAATATGGCCTCCAGGTCCTGTCCACTGTGAAATTGAATGTGGCAACAGAAGAAAATTATATTTTAATTTTCTAAGAGATACTTTTCAATTATGAAATAGTTTAGCTTGCTTGCTCATATTCAAGCCTGTTATTAAACTAGGCATGGTTAATCACCATGTATCCATTTCTCCAGGAGTTCTATGAATTCTTCCTCTGCATGACTAATGCCTAGATTAAAAAAAAAAAAAAAAAAATAGAGTCGATTCCACTATGAATCAGAATTGACTCAATGGCACACAAGATACTAGAGGTTATACAGATAGCTTTAAAATGCTGTCATTAAATGGTATAGGGTTTTTTAGAGGGAAAAGGAGCAATTACATTTGTATTTTTGCTCTTTCCTCTGAATAATAAATCCCATAGGAATCAGATGCTGCATTGAAATTGTATTATTATCAAAAATGGAAGATTCTATTCAGACAGAAGATAAAATTGCTATACCTATGTGACATTTCCAAATCAAGTGAAATACCACATGGCTTATGCACAATTGTACATCTATACAATTTAAGTAAGATAACCAAATGTCTGTTCTTCCAATTGATCCCCAAGAACAAAATCATTTGGCTTATATACAGAGGGAAAAAAGAAATATATATGGAGCCCTGGTAGCACTGTGGTTAAAGCACTTGGCTGCTAACCAAAACATAAGCTATTCAAATCCACCAGCCACTCTGCGGGAATAAGATGTAGGAGTCTGCTTCCCTGAAGATTTACAGCCTTGGAAACTTCATGGGACAGTCAGTTGTTTCCTATGAGTCAGAATTGCCTTGGCAGTTGTGGGTTTAGTATCATCTCAGCAGCACATTAGAACAATGTTTGGCACAGAGTAAGCATGATACAAGTGTTATCTATGAATATTGTTAGTGTTTATTTTTCAGTGTACACTTTAAGTTCTAGTATTTATCTTAGGTTAATCCTATGGATAGATTTATATGTAATATTCTCTAATTAGGAGTTAAAAACTCTGCTTTATTCTTTTCATTATATACTCTTGCCTTTTAACCTTTACTGACAGGTATAAAGGAGATTTTTCTAAAATAAAAATGAAATATCTTAGTACTTGGACTGCAGATGTATCTAGCCACTGTCACTTTTTTAGTCTTAGATTTGTCATCTGTGATCAGAGTTCTGGAAATCAAAGGATATGCAGTGGTTCTCCATTTTGTAACCAAAAACCATCCTGCTATTTTGAAATGATTCTATTAATAAAACATCTCAGTTTCATGTTTCTAAAAGGAACATAAGACATCTAATTTTTTTTTTTTTTTTTTTGACATGAGTGCTTTTTATTAGATTTTTCTGCAAAGGTTTGATTAGTTTCTTAATTACTTATAAACTTTATAAATATCCTTATATTTCATAGATATTTGTTCTTTTTTAACATTTGCTCCATATATCTACTCTGTTTTCATGGTTCTACCCTGTATATACCTCTTTGACTTATTCAGATAGAAAGTTGCAAATGCATCATTGCCTTGTATGCCTTTATTAAAGCAGGCATGGCTTTTGGCTTAAAAGCATTTTTTTTTTTTTAATTCAGTAGATGGAATGTAAAATTTGCCTATAATATTATTTTATTTTTAGAATCTATTTTTAGAATTCTAGTAGTTAATAATAGGGGGCTTAGTAGTTTCTAGTAGTACTTTCTTAGTAGTAGTACTGTTGTTGTTGTTGTTGTTGTGCTGTCGAGTCTGACCTGACTCATAGCAACCCGTCTTTGGGTTTCTGAGGCAGTTATCACTATGAAAGTAGACTGCCCAACCGTCCTTCCAAGGAGTGGCTGGCAGGTTTGAACCACCAACCTCCTGGTTAGCAATTAAATGCCTTAGCACTATGCTACCAGAGCTCCCAGTAGTAGTACTAAGTACTACTTTCTTAGTAGTAGTTTCTTAGCACTGTCTAGTAGTTAATAGTAGAGTCAGAAAGACCCAGATTCAAATCCTCATTCTACTACTTTATCGCCTGTGTGATCAGGGCAAGTTGCCCAGGTTTTTTTAGCTCTGTTTCCTCTTCGGTAGAATAGAGTTAACAATATGTATCTTATAGAGTGGTTGGTATGATGAAGTGAGATACTAGACATAAAAGGATTTTCATTGCACCTGGGTCATTGTAAGCACTCGATATATGAGAAATGATAATGATTATTAATATTAATGTTAGTCTCTATTAAGAAGGAAAATTTAAAAGATGGATAATAGCTATTTTTCAATAGTTTGATAAGCGAAAAAGGACAAGGAACCGACAAATGGTGATTGCTTGCATCCTTTCTTCACCTTTGAGCAAAAAATCTTAGGGCCACCTACATTTTATTTCACTTCAGCAGATGTGGTATATCCTCTGTCAATACTACAAATATTAGAATGGATAAGGCATAGATTTGACTAATTTCTGGGTAAGGTTGTCGATTTTTTAGTTGCCAATGAGTTGACTCCAATTCATGACGATGTGATGTTTAACAGAATGAGAGTTGCCTGGTCCTGTGCAGCCTTCATGATCATTTGTTATATTTGAGTCTGTTGTTGTGATAATTATGTCAGCCTGTCTCATTGACAGTTTTTCTCATTTTTGGCAGCAGGAATTAAAACAGATATTTAACCAAGTTACTCCAACACTACAAAAATGCAAATATATGCCATTTTAATGTGTATGATAATTTAACAAGATAACATAACTACAATGTAATAAGTAATATTAATATTAGCTGCCCTGTGTTGCATGCCTTTTAGGTGCCAGCACAGTCCTAAAGCTTCTAGAAACTTCATTTAATCCTCCTAACAATACTGTGAAGTGGGATTATTTTTGCCATTTTTCCAAATGCCAAAACTGAGGTTCAGAAATTAAGAAACTTGCCCAAATTCACCTAGCTGAATTATTCATCCTCACCTGAGCAGCCACCCTCAAAAGTATGAAATAAACCAAGTTGACTTTAAGTAGTAAAATGAGTACCTTGCTAATATCTTCCTTCACTTTTCTGTGGAGGTAGATCAGGACATACACCTGAATTCAGATCCCTGCTCAGTCACTTATTACCTCTGTGACCTTGGTCATTTCATCTTTCTGTGTCTCAAGATTCTTCCTCTAGTAACTGTGGATAGTAATAATAGCTACCTCAAAGGGCTATAGTGATACTTAATCTACTTCTTATACTCTTAGAACAGTGCCTACTGTCTTGTAAGTGCCATCTAAGCAATCATTATCTTCTCATTCTTCTTAAACCAGGTATCAGAAATGATGCTATGTCACTTAGCTCTATAATAGATGTATCTCTTTAAAGAACACAACCCATTGTCTAAAACTTTATATTTATGATCTGTCTTGATCAGGAGGAGACAGCTTAGAAAAGGGAAGCATTTAGTTCTAATCAGTTGTTTTCACTTAAAAAAAAAAAAAATCTTTGCTTCCAAAAATATATATTTGTCGCTTAATGCAGTCATGTTTGGTCCATATCTTTCACTAAAGAAATAGACATATGATGTAGTCTGTCGGTTTGGGAAACATTCCACTTTAGTACCAATCTGCCTGTCTGTGGAAACCGTTTTTTCAAAGTAATATTCCATTTATGACTATTGTACTTACAGTTCCCATTTTCATTTAAGTTTTAAAAAGAATGTTTATTTCTTGTAACAAAAATGATTCACACCTATATATAATAATTCATGAGGTTCATTGGAATAAAAAATAAAAACTTTTATTGTTTTTAAAAAAAATCTCAACTTTATAAAAGTACATAGTTTTAAAGATGTAGTAGTCTGTAACTCACTTTCATTAACAGTTTTTCTGTGATATTACCACCTGAACATCCTTGTGTCCTTGAATTTAATATAACTATGCAGATGCATTTTTTAATGTGCTAGTTTTTATGTTTCCTTTCACTGAGTGCTAAAGCATTTGACTGCTAACCAGAAGGCTGGAGGTTCAAACCCACCAGCCACTCCTCAGAAGGAAGATTGGACAGTCTATTTCTGTAGAGATGCTGCCTCAGAAACCCAAGGAGGGGATCACTATGAGTCTAATTGACTCGATGGCAGTAAATTTGGTTTGTTTTTTGGTTCACTGAGTTACAGGGGATTTGAGAAGATGAATATGATCATTATACAGTAGAACACAACCCTGATTCAGCCCATTCTTTGGGGATAGCATACACCGACCAAGATACTAAGAAAAAAATAAAATACTCTGGGTAAATATATGATTAGTCATTGCTACCTTAAAAAAATCAAATATATTACTTACTAAGGAGCACTGGTGGCATAGTGGACAAGGCGTTTGCGTGCTAATCAGAAGGTCAGAGGTTCAAACCCAGAAGCTGCTCCATGGAAAGAAGATAGGAAAATCTACTTCGGTAAAAATTTACAGCCTCGGAAACCCAAGGGGCTCACTATAAGTTGGAATCAGCTTGATGGCCGTGAGTTTGGTTTTTTTTTGGACGTCAAGGGATTTTGAAAGCAGCTATTTATAAATCTCACATAATTGTAGAGTAATGATTCTAGATTTCAAAAATCATTCATTCCACCATATATTACTTTTGGTAAATGTGTTTGGTATCTATATCATATACTTTTCCTACTTCTGAATATAATTCCTATTTTGTTACATCATCTTCTTTCATGCCTCCTCTTTTTATAAGTACAATCAAATGCTACTTGCAGTCAAACAAAGGCCAGATTTAGCATAACTTACTGACTGTAAAACATATTTTTAAAGTCAACACATCTAACATTTATTCTTGTCCAGGGGATTGATATTTAAATTGCTGTAACTAAATATTTTACCCCCTACATGTTCCTTAGGTTCACAGTGGAACAGGAAATTGATTTAAAAGGTGTTTTGAAGGCTCTTGGAATAACTGAAGTTTTCATCAAAAATGCAAATTTGACAGCTCTGTCTGGTAAGATATAAGTACTAACTTTAAACAAAAAAGGTATTTCATAAAAGCTTCTTTTAATGATGACGTTGAATCTTCTATTTTCAATGTAATTTTGATATGAAATATAGTTCTCACTTACCAGGTAAATATAACAAGAAATATACTTAATTTATAAAAGGAAAACTGTACATATAGTTGTAACATCAGGTTTACATATTCTGGTCCTTGCCTTATGTTTGATAGTAAATTATATTCTCCAGAAGACTTGTCTTATACATATTTGTATAAGATGTATATACATCCCATCACATCCCATCTGGTACAATGCCTTATAGAATAGATAACAAATAAATGTATTGATTTAATATCTCAATATGTCCTGTTGTAATCAATCATATAGGAAGGAAACAAGGGAAGAGAGGATAAATGAGTACTTATGATGAGAACTGAACACTTTTTCAAATAAAGAGTTCCCAGTGAGATGATGTAAATATTTCCTTAATCTTCATAGAAATTGTTTGTTTTGGAGAAGTAGCTTCAAAATACATGGGACATTGGGGTGTTGAATAATTTACTTTAAGTGTACTAAGGAAAAAATCCAGTTGAATTATTTTATTCTAATATCCTAATAAGGTCAGGGTAAAAATCATAAAATATTAGTAACATTAATATATTTAAAGCATATAAAATGTTCTTGGAAGTACTTTTATGCAGTTGACCCAAAAAAATTTTTCATTAAAATAAGGTACCAGTGAGTTTAAGGATTAGTAAGCTTATGTAATGATTATTTTTTATCATTTTTGTAGAACAGGAAAAAGAAAATAGAATCTGTTTTCTGATGAGCTAAAGGAAGGTATATATTAAGACAAAAGAAACTCAACATGTAAGTGCTCCTTATATGCAATTTATTGATCCCAGTTCTCCATTTAAAGAGAGCTGAAGTGATAGCTTCTAAACCTAGAGTGTGAAGACCCATGGATTGGATTCAGGGACATTGGTGACACCTACCCTTAAATTACAAGTGCGTGTGTGTGTGTGTGTGTGTGTGCGCGCGTGTGTGAAAGAGACAGACAGACAGACAGGGTGGGGAAAATGACAGGCTTTGGTATTTGTTAGGTTCTGTGAAGTTGGTTTCAACTCATAGCGACCCAGTGTTCAAAAGAATGAAACACTGCTCAGTCCTATGGCTTCCTTACAATTGTTGCTATGTTTGTACCCATTGTTGCAGTCACTGCATCAGTCCATCTTGTTGCAAGCCTCCCTTTTTTTTGCTGACCCTCTAATTTACCAAGCATGATGTCCTTCTCCAGGTACTGGTCCCTACTGTTAATAACATGTCCAAAGTACGTGAGACAAAGTCTTGCCATCCCCGCTTCCAAGGAGCATTCTGATTATGCTTTTTCCAAGACATATTTGCTTGTTCTTCTGGCAGTCCATGGATATTCATATTCTTTGGCAATGTTCTAATTCAAAGGCATCAGTTCTTCTGTAGTCTTCTTTACTCATTTGTCCAGCATTAGTATACAGATAAGGTAATTAAAAATACAATGTGGCTTGGGTCAGGTGCACCTTAGTCTTCAAAGTGACATCTTTCTTTTTAACACTATGAACAGATCCTTTGCTGCAGATTTTCCCAATGCAATAAATGCATCATTTGATTTCTGACTGTTGCTTCCATGAGCATTGATTGTGAATCGAAGTAAAATAAAATCATTGATGACTTCAGTAATTTCTCCATTTATCATGATGTTGCTTATTTGTCTAGTTATGAGGATTTTTGTTTTCTTGACTTTGAGTTGCAACCCATACTGAAGGCTGTAGCATTTGATCTTCATCAGTAAGTGCTTCAAGTCCTCTTTGCTTTTAGCAAGAAAGGCTGTGTCATCTGTGTATCTCAGGGCTTATAGCTTTTAATAAATTCTTAAGGATTTTGTGATCAAAAAGGCCACACTCTCCCAGATTTAAGATTGGGTAGATTGTTTCTAAATGACACTCAGCTTCTAGCAATATGGTGCACCATAGGGGAAAAAAACACTCAGACCTTCAATGTCATTTCAAAAGTTTTATTCAGCATTGAATGGGAATAAATAGCTCACATAAGTGAAAACATGGTGATTTCAGAGAGTGGAGCCCGAGCAGAGATGGATATTGGGCAAAAAACAAAGAGATTACAATAAAATCATTTATTGGTTAGTTTTGATTGGTGGCACAAAAGGAAGGGTTAAAGATGTGGGGAAAGGCTTTTATTGGACACAAATGCTTTGGCGGCTACAAAGATTTTAAAGTATAGTCACAGGATGGGTGCTGGGGACATTTGGAAGTGGCTTTAAGGAGAAGCCTGGAAGGGGAGTCAGGCACTGGGGACTTTTGGAATAGGTTTAAGGGGCACCCTGGAAAGGGAACTGGGCATGGGATTTGGAGCAGCTTTACAGGATGCCAGGAAGTGAGCAGAGCAGCTAAGGGAGATGAACTTGTCTGTCAGCTTGTCATCCTGTGCTGGCTTACATGTTGCTATGAGGCTAGAGGCTATGCCATCAATATTGCAAATCCCAGCAGGTTACCCATGGTGGGCAGGTTTCAGTGGAACTTTCAGACTAGGACATACTTGGAAGAAGAAAGAGACCATCCACTTCTCAAAGAATTGACCAACGAAAACTTTGTGAATAGCAATGAAACACTGTCTTATATATTACTGGAAAACTTTATAAATAGCCCTGAAACATTGTCTGATGTAGTGCCAGATGAGCCTGTCAGGTCAGAAGGCACTCAAAATATGACTGGGAAACAGTTGCCTACTTAGAGTAGAACCGACCTTAATGATATGGATGGAGTAAAGCTTTTGAGACCTCCATTTGCTGATGTAGCACTACTCAATATGAGAAGAAACAGCTGTAAACATCCATTAATAATCAGAACATGGAATGGATTAAGTATGAATCTAGGAAAATTGGAAGTTGTCAAAAATGAAATAGAACACATAAAGATCAGTATCCTAGTCAGTAGTGAGCTGAAATGGACTGGTTTTGGCCATTTTGAATCAGACAACCATATGATCTACTATGCTGGGAATGACAGATTAAAGAGGAATGGCATGGCATAAATCATCACAAAGAATGTTTCAACATCTGTCCTGAAGTACAGTGCTGTCAGTGATAGGATAATATCTATATGCCTGCAGGGAAGAACAGTTAGTAGTAGTACTGTTATTCAAATATACGCACCAACCACCAGAGTCATAGATGAAGAAATTGAAGATTTTTACCAACTTCTGCAGTCTGAAATTGACCAAACACGAAATCAAGATGTGTTGATTATCACTAGTGATTGTAATGCAAAAGTTGGAAGCAAAGAAGAATCACCATTAGCTGGAAAATATGGCGTTGGTGATAGAAATAATGCTGGAGATCACATGATAAAATTTTGCAAGACCAATGACTTATTCATTGCCAACACCTTTTTTCAACAATAGAAATGCTGAGTATACATGTGGACTTCGCTAGATGGAGTAACGCAAGAATCAGATTGACTACATCTGTGGCAAGAGATGATGGAGAAGCTCAGTATCTTCAGCCAAAACAAGGCCAGGAGCTGATTGTGGAACAGACCATCAACTGCTCATATGCAAGTTCAAGTAGAAGTTGAAGACAATTAAAATAAGTCCACGAGAGCCAAAATAGGACCTTGAATTTAGAATTTATATGACCTCCTGAATTTAGAGACCATCTAAAGAATAGATTTGATGCATTGAACACTAATGACCAAAAACCAAAGAAATTGTGGGATGACATCAAGAACGTCATCCATGAAGAGAGCAAGAGATCATTAAAAAGACAGGAAAGGAGGAAAAGACCAAAATGGATGTTATAAGAGACTCTGAAATTGGCCCTTGAATGGAGAGTAGCTAAAACAAATGGAAGAAATGACAAGATAAAAGAGCTGAACAGAAGATTTCAAAGAGCACATAAGAAGACAAAGTCAATTATTATAATGAAATGTGCAAAGACCTGGAATTATAAAACAAAAGGGAAGAACATGGTTGGCATTTTTCAAACTGAAAGAACTGAAGAAAAAATTAAGCCTTGAGTTACAATATCAAAAGATTCTATGGACGAAATATTGAATGATGCAGGAAACATCAAAAGAAGATGAAAGGAATACACAGTATCACTGTACCAAAAAGAATTGGGCAATGTTCATCCATTTTGTGGCATATGATCAAGAACCAATAGTACTGAAGGAAGAAGTCAAGCCTGCACTGAAGGAACTGGCAGAAAATAAGGCTCCAGGAATTGACAGAACACCCATTGATACGTTTCAACAAACAGATGCTGCACTGGAGGCACTCACTCGGCTATGCCAAGAGATTTGGAAGACAGCTAACTGAAAGAGATCCGTATTTGTACCCATTCCAAAGAAAGGTGATCCCACAGAATGTGGAAATTATCAAACAGTATCATTAATGTCACATGCAAGTTAAATCTTACTGAAGATAATTCAAAAACAGTTGCAGGGATACATTGACAGAGAACTTCCAGAAATGCAAGCTGGATTCAGAATCGGATGTGGAACGAGAAATATCATTACAGGTGTTAGGTGGATCTTGGTTGAGAGAAAAAAATAGCAGAAAGCTATTTACTTATGTTTTATTGACTATGCAGAGGCATTTGACTGTGTGGATCATAATAAATTATGGGTAACATTAAGAAAAATGGGAGTTCCAGAACACTTAATTATACTCATGAGGAACCTGTACATAGACAAAGAGGCTGTCGTTAGAACAGAACAACTGCATGGTTTAAAATCAAGACGGAAGTGTGTTAGGGTTGTATCCTTTGATTATACTTACTCAATTTGTATGTTGAGCAGATAACATGAGAAGTTGGAATAAAGGAAGATGATCATGGCATCAGAATTGGAGGAAGACTCATTAACAATCTGCGATGCACAGATGACAACTTTGCTTGCTGAAAGTGAGGAAGACTTGAAGCACTTACTGATGAGGATTGAAGACTACAGTCTGC